CCCCAAAACCCCAAAACCCCAAAACCCCAAAACCCCAAAACCCCATTTGCTTTGAATCATGAATGATATAGAGATTGGTATAAATGCATAAATAAAAGTTACATTGATGTAAAACCACAATAAACTCAGTCTGTACAACAATTATCAAGACCCAGATTATCTGTAGCATTGATTTAGTTTCATCAGCTGACTTAATTCAATCATACTTGACTTTTTCATCATTGAATTCCTCTTCATTAACATGTTCTTTACCACCCTTATCTGAAATGATTAAAGCAACCCCAATTAAGCTAAGATGCTTTAAGAATTCAAGAATGCGTTGACTTTAATCTAAGCCGTAGAGCTTATCATTAGTCTTTAAAAATGGATTGTCCTTTGTTAGCAGAATAAAAATCACAGCAACTATGAGCATTTTCGATCCCATTGCTTATTTCTAAATCAGAATTAATAAGCCACTCGTAACAAAGAGTGCTCCATCGAACTTTATTATTATCTGATTAAGTCTCTCAAAAGTTATACCAATTAAGGGAACCAATCCTGAACCTTGAGACTCTGGAAGTATTAGTTTTCTGAGAGCGTGAAGATATCTGTTATAAATTTAGTGGCCATTCTAGAACATGTGGTAGCCTATAGCTATCAGAAAGAGGGAGAATAATAATCTGCCGAGGAAATAGGTGATCTTTCTCGAACTTAACATTTTTAAAGTTAATTTGTAATTATTCTGAATAATGTAATTAACTCATTCCTTAGGTTAATTCCCTTTATTCAGTCAACCTAGGTTAAATTATTTCCAAAGTTTCCTGAGAGTTTATCGTCTTTTAAGTTCAAACTTAATGTTGGATACCTAATGTATCATTGAAAACCTTGTCAAGTTAAGTAAAATATGAACATAGTTTTTTACTAAAATTTTGCATAAGCAAAGAGTTAAATGAAAACAACCTAACAACATCTGATATTGAGTAGGCATCATAAGACGAGAGGATTTAGGTATAGATAAAGAAAGATTTGACTAGAAAGGACGAGGAACCTCCATGGTGTAAGGGTAGCACATGGGACTCTAAATCCTTTGGTCAGAGTTCGAATCTCTGTGGAGGTAATGTTTTTTTCCCCTCCCGCAAATTTAATCTGATAATTCACTCAAATTTAAATTCTTTTTATTTTACTCAGATATTTAAAATCAACATTCATACATGGGGTTTTGGGGTTTTGGGGTTTTGGGGTTTTGGGGTTTTGGGGAAAAAAAC